CCATCACAGGTGTTTCAGTGAGGCCGTTGCAATAATACCTAATGTCTCTGGTGAGCTCCTTCAGGCCCGGAAGGATGGGTTTTGTTTTATAGGCTTTGCGGATTGGGTGTTGGATTTGGAATCACCAAGCTCTGGCTTTAGAATCTCACCCTTGATATTAATAACAGCAGTGTGCTAAAACTGCTCTAATGGGGGAGAGCTGATTGTTAAAATTTCAGTGTGAGCATTTTTCTTTGGCTATTTCGGTTGTAACTGACTCTTCCGCTGTGCCGCCTCGATGCCCCTTAGACCTCAGAAATCAACAGATACTGCAAACCAAGCCTTGGTTACTGCTTTGTGGATTGTCTAGACTCAAGAAAATGATAGAGAAAATGTTAGTGCAGATTAAATTTAAAAGTGTGTCACGGATACATTCTCCATCTCCTTCCCAAGTCAGTTGTTAAACATTTACCAGCCCCCCCCCCTTACTTCTTACTAATTGTGTGACCCTAGGGAAAACACTTAACCTTCCTGGACTTTAGGTGCCTCATTTATAAAAATGAGGGGGTTGGGCTCAATGGCCTCTAAGGTCACTTCTAGATTTAGATCTATGATTCTATGGTCACTGTCCTTTCTGACTGGGGCAGCTAGGTGTCACAGTGGACAGAGCACTCCACCTGGAGTCAGGAAGACTTATCTTCCCAAGTTCAAATCTGGCCTCAGACACTTTCTAGCTGTGTGACCTTGGGCAAGTCACTTAACCTCAATTGCCTAAAAAGAAAAAAACCTTTGCTTGAGGGTGCACTTGGTTTATCTTGAGTTGGGACTATCTTGAAAAATCTGGGGCACATTATTGCCCCAGACTTCAAGTACTTGGAAATTTTGGCGAGGACCAGCTCTGGAAAGCATATTGGCCTTTTTCTCCTACTGTTCCTGTTCTTTCTCCTCTACGGCCATAAGAGAAAACCCACCAATGACCACAGGATGGGTGTATGTGTGGGAAGGGGATCCTGAGTCATTTCTTCAGGCTTGGAAGCATCATGGTGGGAGGATGATGATGATGATGACTCTGATAACATTTATAGAGTGCTTACTATGTGCCAGGTACTGTGGCTAAGCACTATACAACTACTATCTCATTTGATCCTTATAAGCTATTATTACCTCCATTTTACAGATGAGGAAACTGAGGCAAAGAAAAGTTTAGTGACTTGCCCAAGTCACACATCTAATAAGTATCTGAGACTGGATTTGAACGTAATCTTCCTGACTTGAGGGTGGGCCCTTTATCCTCTGTGCAGACTTGGAGCTTATTATACCCATTTGTTAGCTGTGTAATCCTGGCTAAGTCACTTACCTCTCTGAGCTTCAGTTCCCTCATTTGTAAAATAAGGGAAATAGTAATTCCATTCCCACAAGACTGTGGTGACAGGGAAGTGCTGTTTTAGCCTTAGAGACATGAACTAATGTCAGAAATCATTCCCTGACTCTTGACATTTTCACACACGTCACTGTAGTGGCTTTGAGAGTAACAGACCATTGAAGCTGGAAGGGTCCTAGGAAATCATCTAGTCCAACTCCCCTCACCTTACAAACGAGGAAACCAAGATGTAGGGAGGATGAATGACTTGACCAAGAAGAACACACAAGGTATAATAATCAGAGGCTGGATTTGAATCCAGGTTAGTGCTCTTCCTACTGTGCCAAGCTGCCTCAAAATCAAAATGACTCATTTTTTCAAAACTAGTTTATTTAGTACCTGCTATGTACCAGGCACCATGCTAGAAGACATTGATGATACAAAGACAAAAATTGAAATGGTTCCTGCCTTTTTGGGGCTGGTTTGGGGGAAATCTAGTGATATATAACAGTGTAAGGATGATGGTGGGGGTAGGTGGGGCAGGGATAGCTCTGTTGGGGGACATTTTGGAGTAAAATACAGTTAAGCCTCTTCATACTGGAAAAATTTTCCCACTTAATAAGTATTTAGGATACTTGGTTTGATATATTTATATATACTATTTTTGAAGATAAAAATAGCAGGAGCATGGAAATACTCATGAAAACCCTATTCACATTTTGTAGAACACCAGGCTCTTCAAAATACAGTGTGGGAAACACAATTTTATACACTCTGTGTGTGTGTGTGTGTGTGTGTTTGTTATCTTATGTGTCTTATGCTCTAGCAATTAAAACCATCTGCCGATGTTTGTGTATCACTGTTAAAAAATAAGGTATAAGCGCAGTCTATAATAAGACTTAACTGCCTTGATAATAGTGGTTTGGAAGGGTGGAGCCGAATTCGGGGCAGACTGTTAGTCTTGGGGTTTTAAACACCAGCCTACACAAGGACTTCTTTCTCCCCTCTGGCTGTCTCCTTTGGGAACCCTGGCTAAAACCTGCCCAGCTGCCTAGTCAGAGTAGAGCACAGTCTTCCCAGCTCCTGGGGCCAAGACTAGCACCCCGGTTCCTAGAATCACAGACTCCTCGGATATCAGAACTAGAAAGAATCTCAGAGGCCGTCAAAGGCAAGTTGCTCATTTTGACAGAAGAGGAAACTGAGGTTTAAATCGCAGTGGTGAGTGATGATTGGTATAGCCAGATCTCCTGACTCCCAGTCCAGTACCAAAGCTGCCACTCCCCAAAGGGGAGGGAGAGCTTTGGACACCACACCCTCTGTCAGGTTGTTTTTCTCTGAGCTAGACCTCACCCTTTTTTTCTGAGAGGTGTTCTTTCCCAAAGGCAGGCAAACAAAACCACTCCTAGGCTGAGGACTTGGAAGTCCCTGGAATAGCTGAAATTCCTGACGGATCCATAACCCAGCCATTAGGACAGGTGCAAGGTCCTTCTTGGCCCAGTGCCCTGCCTCCGATTAATTTCAAGACTGGTGCCTCTTTTTTCTCTCCACAAATGGCCTTTCTGCTGGAGGGTTTGCTCATAGTGGACAGATCACTGGACTGCAAAGTCAGAGGACCTGGGTTCGGGTCCAAAACCTTCCACTTCCTCACTGGGTGAGCCCTTTCTACGGGCCTTCGTTTGTTCTCCAGGAAAATGAAGGAGGGAGACCAGACAGTCCCTTAGGTTCAACTCTACCATCCTCTCATTCTGTGAAGTGACCCAGAACCACCCAAGCCACGCTCCCCGGTTCTCCTCCCAGCTGCTGAAACAGGCACTAGCATTCCTGATGAAAGCAGCCGGCACCTTCTAAGCAGTTGGACCTGTTTCAGACTTTTGGAATCTGGCTGAGGGCCCCACTGGGCCTTGGCAGGTGGACGGGAGGCTCTGTCTCATCTACCCAGCAGAGTCGAGCTGTCAGGGTGGTGTGGTGGAACCGGGTGGGGCCGGGATACCAGCTGTGGCACCCTGCTCTGCTGACTCTCCCCGGGGGGATGATGGAGGAGGCTGCACAATATCCGTGGAGAATGGGCGCAGTGTGTTCTCAGCTGAACGAAGACAACCTTTGAGCCTAGGGAGTGGGGAGGCCACTTGCAGCCTTTGCCTGGGAGTGTCTCTGTGGGCGCCGGTAATCCCCAGAACAGCTGGCTGGTTGGCCCCACATCGTTCAAGGGCAAAACTGTGAAATCAGAGAAGTTTATTTTCAGCACCATCCCATCCCCTGCCCCCTGCCTCAGACACACACACTCCTTTTCCTTTGGGAGGCATAGGCGATCAGAGAATGTCAGGGCTGGAAAATTAATAAATATTTATTGAATTGAACATGGACTTGAACTGGTTAATAAGTAGCAGAATTAGGAGTCACACCAGATCTTTGGATTCATCTCCCCTTTACCTATTCTTCCTTTTCCCTCTCCCCCATGAGTTCTTAGTGCTACTCATAGATGCCTAGTGGGGCTCCCTTCTTCATCCTATCTTCTCAAGGCAGAACCTTTCTTCCTTTGGAATGGGAGTCCAAAGACCTGGGTTCTAGTCTTGTCACTAATTAGCTTAAGCAAGTTACTTCCTACAGCGAAAAATGAGGACACTGGGCTTGATAACCTTGGTTCCTTCTAGTGCTAAAATTCTATGAGTCTGCAATTCCTCTCCAGGACTGGAGTCCAAGCTGTGTCTCTGATCCTTTGTGTGACCAGTGTCAGGACATTTCATCTTTTTGGGCTTCAGTTTTCCCATCTGTAAAATGAAAGGGTTGGCCCAGGCCTCTTCCAGCTCTAATATTGTCTTTTGAAGAGCCTAAGATGGCTCCCTACTGCCTATGGGATCAAATCCAAATGTCTCAGCCTAATAGCAGGGTGTATTATAGTAGAAAGAGTTCTGTGTCTGGTGTCTGAGCAAATGCTGGCTTACCTCCCACCTCTTTCACTGTGTACCTTGTCAACCTCTACTTCAGAGGTTCTTAAGTTTTTTTGCATGTCATGAACACCCCCACCCACCCCCCCTATCCTCCCAACTCAGATGAAAGCTATGGACCTCTTCTCAGAATGTTTTAAATGCATGAGATAAAGTGGGTAGGAGAACAAAGGAAACCAATTACACTGAAATATAAATTGTCAAAATATCTTCAGAATATGTGCATGGACTCCAGGTAAAGAACCCTTTGTCTATGGATCTCAATTTCTTTATGGCCATGGGTCTCAACTTCTTTATGGCCAAGGTGAAAGTGTTACACTAGCTGACTTCTGAGGTTCCTTCCACTTCTAAATTGGACAGTCCCATAATAAGGCATTGAACAATCTTCCTCAGGTGGGTTTTGCATGTCTTGGCAACAGAGGCTGCGTTCCAAACAGGAAACTCTTCTCCTCCATTCTGAAAGGTCCTTTCTCACACTTTTCTATGTTTTTGTTCTTTATTGTTCTCCTCTCCTTTTTGTTGTGAATCCAGATTTTATATCTGTTTTGCTTCATGAATAATTTATAGTTTTATAGCCCTTTAAGGTACAGAATGCCAGATTCCTCCCAACAATCCCTATGAGATCCAATGGGTGCAAGGGTTATTACCCCCTTTTACAGATGAGGAAACTGAGCTAGAGCTCCAAACCCAGGTCTCCTGACACCAGAGTTTTTCTTTCTTCCAATTTTAGTTTAGTTTTTTTTTTAATGTTATTGACATCTCTTTGCTGTTACATCATTTTCATTTCTGCAGCTAGTCCTATGCACTCTCTTGACCCAGCAAGGTGCCCTTGTAACAGAGAACAAAGAAGGAGGAAGAAAAAAAAAAGACATTAATTGTGACTGGCCATAAATGTACAATATTCTGCACCCATACCCTCCCTTCCGTAAAGAAAGACTGCCTCCTTCAAGCACCCCCCTTCCATTTTTGATACTTTTTCAACTGTATCTTCTAATTGTCCATATGTTACTTTGTAACTGTTTACCTAGACATAACACCTAAGGTCAACTTCTCTCCCCCACCAAATCATAAGCCTGTAAGAGGGCCAGGGACTGTTCTCTGCTGTCCTCCTGTCTCCCCGCTTCAGCAGAGCCTAGGACGATGGTGCTAGGCACCAACCAAGTGCTTAATAAACACGTGCTCTGTAAATGCTGCCCTCTGAAAACCCTAATCCCCCTGCACAATCGGGAAGGTACAAGGATTGTTCTGGCTTGGCCAAGGACAGATCTCTTAAGGTCCCTTCTAACTGTGTCTGGGGAGGGTGGGGGAGGGTGTTGGGCCCAGGTCACGTGATTGGACGGGGGGGGGAAGGGAAAGGGGAGGGGGGGAGGGGAAACCTGTGCCAGGGCCTCAAGGTCCCTGCCCCAGGCCCTCACTTCCGCTCCTGCTTATTTTAAAGCAGGACACCCTCCTGGTCTGACTTTTCCTGTCTCTGGTTCCCAAACAAGCCCATGGGTACTCTTCCGTCCCCATCTTTGCAAGCCCTCCCCCACTCCACTCCATCCCAAGCCGCTTTGATAGATATGCAGGTGTGGCCCACATGTCCCAGAATGCTGTCTTTTCTGAGGCCCCAGTGTCCTCCAGACAGGGAAAACAGGAACCCATGTGAGAGGCTTGTAAACACCCCAGCATGGGACTGTAGACGATATAAGCCTGGGCATGTCCCTATAGCCGGCTCCTTGCCCTGGCTTGGGCCCCGCCCCCTGCCCCAACCAGGGCCCCCCTCGAAGGAGCATGAGCTGAGGTGACTCACAGCCTCAAACACACTGTCTGACAGCTTCCTCCACTTGGAATTTCAGATCAGCTGGAGCCAAAGTCAGAGCCTTGAGGGTGGCTCCCGCCTTCTCCCCCACCCCCTTCTTATTATCACAGGAACAAAAATGCCCGAGCTGGGAGGACGCTAAGAGACCATCTCCTCCAAAGCCCTCTTTTTTCCAGGGGTGGAAACTGAGGCCTGAAGAAGAGGAGAGACTTAGGGATGCAGTGATCAGCTCTCTCCCAGGCTGGGAGACAGACAGACTGGATATACAGGCTTAGACGTCTCTTGAGGCCAAGAAACCTTTCTCCCAGAGTATGGGGTGAAGGTGGTGTACGCTTAGAAAGAGTAATGTCTTTAGCTGAGTGACCTTGACCAGAATCTTTCAACACTCTGGGCCTCAGTTTTCTACTCTGTAAAATGAAAGAATTAGATTAGATGGTCTCAAAGGTCTTTTTATTTATTTATTTTTTCAGCTCTCACATTCTAGGCACATAATGATTCCAGCTAGATTTATGAACAGGCAGACACCCTCCTCTTCCCCCTCACCCTTTCTCTCCTTATACTTATACATATCTTTAGTGTTTGATATTTACAGAGCGGGGCAGCTAGGTGGTGAAGCTGAGACAGTGGCTGCCCTGGAGTCAGGATAGAACTGAGTTCAAATGTGACCCCAGACACTTACTAGCTGTGTGACCCTGGGCAAGTCACTCAATCCTGTTTTCCTGTTTCATCTTCTGTAAAATGAGCTGGAGGAGGAAATAGCAAACCACTCCAGTATCTTTGCCAAGAAAAGCCCAAATGGGGTCATGAAGAGTCAGACATGATTGACCACCACCAACAAATTTATAGAGCAATTTATTTAATCTCTGACAACTAGACGTTGCTCTAAACCAGGGGTTCTTAAACCTTTCCTTCAGTCATAGAGTCCTTGGGCAACCAGCTAAAGCCTATAAACCATTTCTCGGAATAATGTTTTTAAATAATTGAAGGAAATGTTGAGTTGCAGTTAGAAGTCAAAGAAAATAAATATGTAATTTTCCCCATCCAAGTTCACAGATCCCTAGTAATCTACCCACTGAGGGTAGGAACAAGGAGGAGCCTAGGTTCAAGTTGTCAGCCTACACTGGTAGAGAGAGTTTCTTCAATTGAGAGTTCGTTACATCATTGAAACTACAAGCCTAGTTCTTAAAGACATGACTCTCCTGTGAGTCAGGTAATAGTGTTGTTATTATTATTATCTCTGTTTTACAAATGGGAAATCTAAGGCACGGGAAGACATCACAGCAGCCTAGATTTAGAGAGAACCTCAAGTCCAACCCCCTTATTTTGCAGATGAGGAAAGCAAGGCCCATAGAGGTTGACTTGTCCTAAGCAGTGCCAAAGGTTGCATTCGAACCTACATCTAATCCAGTGTTTTTTCCTCTAGATCACCATGGCTAAACAGCTTACCCAGTCTCAAGTAGCTACTAAGTAGCCAGAGCTAGCTGGCATTTCAGCTGAGGTTTTTCTCCTTCCGAAGCCAGCCCTCCCTCCAATTCCCTACACTGCTTCCCTGGTTGAGATGTTTGAATTAGGGAGCCACCTGTAATCTCAACATCAGAAACCTTTTATTAAGTACCTAATGAGGTGTGGCCACACCCAACCCTACCCTATAGGCAGACTCAGCATCTGGATGTCTACCCAGCCTTGCCCCTGGCTGGGCACTCCCTGGACCAAAAGGGGCCCTGAGTCAACCACTCAGCCAACAAAGTATATAGATTATTAATAATAGCTTACATTTATACCCAGCTTCAAGGTTTACAAAACAATTTCCCACAACAGTGCTATCAGGTGGGTGGAGTGGCATTACTCCCATTTGACAGATGAGAAAACTGAGAGTGAGCTGATTTGTCATGCTGCTAGCAAACAACCCAGCTGGGATCTGGGTGGGTTCTATGTTCTTTCTGTTATAATCTGCTGGATACTTCCAAAGGGCCCTAACACTGTGCTCAACCTTGGAGGCTGGAACCAGAGAGATGTAAGGCATAGTCCCTGGCAGAAAAGAGCCTACAATCTTTGTTGTTCAGTTGTGTCCTACTCTTTGTGACTTCATTTGGTGTTTTCTTGGCAGAGTCACTGGAGTGGTTTGCCACTTCCTTTTCCAGCTCATTTTACAGAGGAGGGAACTGAGGCAAACAGGGTGAAGTGACTTGCCCAAGGTCACATAGCCAGTAAATGTCTGAGGCTAGATCTGAACTAGCACTGAATCCCAGGCCTAGCACTCTAGGTACTGTGCCACTGGTAGGTGGGGAGAAAAGCCTTACTCACATGGCAACCAAATAGTGGGCATACATAAGACAGCAATAGCTTGCTCCATCTGGATGATCTGCAGCCCTGCTTATGTATCATGATATATATGTAGTAGTGGTGAGATATATATATGTATTTGTATACATATATATATATATATATACATATATATATATATATATATATATGCAATAGGGGTGATCAGAGATTATTTTTTTTAATTTTTTAAAGAAAAGGTGTGCTCATCTCATCTCAGGTAAACCATGTGTGATCTTGGGCAATGGCCCTCAATTATCTTTAAAGTATAAGTCACTTTCGGGGAGCACCAGCCCTGAAGTCAGGAGGACCTGAGTTCAAATTCGGCCTCAGACCAAACACTTGACACTTACTAGCTGTGTGACCTTGGGCAAGTCATTAACCCCAATTGCCTAAAAAAAAAATTTAAAAATTAAAAAAAAAACATTAAGTATAAGTCACTTTGGTCCACAGCTTAGACAGCAAGTTTACAGGGCCTGTGGCTTCTTGGATCACCTCCTCAGGGGCTTTTCATGGGCTGGGGTCCCTGCTGTAACAACCTCTCATTTTGTGTATGTATGTGAGCATCTTGATTGTTTTAAGGTGTTAGTTTGTGAAGAGATTGCATGACTGACTGAGTCTGTATTTTAACTGCTTCCATTCTTTCTCTGAGGGCATTTTGAAATTACAGCAGAATGTACAAACTAGAAAGAAAAATCTAGGTGGTTCTCACTTCGATGAGAGGGCTGGAGGCAGTCTCACTTAGTGTACTTAAAAGTATCCTGAAATGGGAGTCCCAAGTCCCGAGTTCAAATCTCAGCTAGGTGAGATGATCAAGTTGCTCCTCCCTCTCTCAATTTCTTCCTCTGAAAAACAAGAGGGGTTGATAGAGAGAGAAGCGTGCAGTGGAAAGAGTGTTGGACTTGGAGTCAAAGAACCTGAGTCGACAGTTCTGGCTCTGTTGCTTACTGCCTGTGTGACCTTGGACAAGTCTTTTCAGTTTCTTGAGATTTGCAGAAACGGGACCTCCAGTTTCCTCATCTGCAAAATGAGGGGTTTTTACTGGGTGATCTCTAAGGTCTCTAAGTATCTTATCTTCTCATCCAATGACTGAATGATCTCCAGAGTATCTTCTGACACTGTTATTCTGTGATAAACTGGTGATCTAGTCCAGCCCTGCTTTTCCAGGAAGGATTACACTGAAACATTAGTTAGGAATGCACACTAAGAAATAAAGAAGGCCTTAATTTCTACTTCTCATCTCTCCCTTCTGTTCCTTCTGCTATATCTCTTCCCAAAAACTTTTCAAATAAGCTACTAACCTGTTGTGTTGTTTGGTTGGTTCAGCTATGCCAGACTCTTCATGACCCTGTGGACCACAGTGTATCATTGCTATCCATGGAGTTTTCTTTGGCAAATACACTAGAGTGGTTTGCCATTTCCTTATCCGGTGGATTAAGGCAAACGGAAGTAAACTGACTCGCCCAGGGTCACAGGGCTAGTAAGCTTCTGAGGCCAAATTTAAACTCAGGTTTTCCTGACTCCAGGCTCAGTGCTCTATACACTGAGTCTTCTAGCTAGAACCTCCATGGGTTCTATGCCTACCACTTCACTGAATCTTCCATTTTGAGAATCACTGATGACCAGATGATTGACCTTTCCTTGTATCTTTGTCCGTCTTGCCCTCTCTCTAACCTTTGATACTACTGACTACCCCTTCCTTCTT